GGGTGGGAAAGTAGAGGTTCCAATGTTTTAAGATAACTAAATCCTTATCTTTCCTAACAGAAGTCCAAGATTTTATTGAAAACTTACAAGTTTAAAAAGTTCGGAATAAGCACATAATTTAGACATATTACGTAGCTATCAGAAGAAAAGGGAACTAAAGTTAAGTGAATTAAGTGATTGCCTTTGTGAGATAGGGCTAAGAGGTGGGCAGGTGGCTTTTTATTTATTTTTTTATTATTTTAATATCACTTTTTTAATCCAAATGTGCTTATTGCCTATTCTTATATTTTAAAAGTATTTACTATATCGGGCTTACCCAAATATTGTTGAAGAAAATAATTCATATTTTCAGTTTTGGTTTGATTCTACCAAAATCATAATGATTTCAATGATAAATTCAGAAAGGGCTACAAAAGATTATCTAGTTTAACCTCCATTGAAATGTATATATATATTTGGATAAAAATATTGGACTGATAGCATACACAGGAAACTTGAAAAATTTATACCACCAAGAAATTGTAAGCAACTTACATACCCAATAATGATGGTCTAAATTAGGTAAGTAATAGTATGTTAATAGTCTGTAGGAAGGAAAAAAAATCATTTTCTTTAAGACTTAAGTATTGATAATTGGAATATGTTTGTGAAATATTAGTCTATGATAAAAGTAGCTTATACGTATCATATGTTTTTGTAAGTATGTGCAGGATATTGTGTACATATCTATATAAGAGAAAAATGCTTTAAAAATATATCAAATTGAGTCATTTTGAGGTACTTTTTTCCTGTTTTTCTGTTTTCTAAATTCTCTGTGTCAAGGAATACTTTGGTAATTTAAAGCAAAAAAAAACACATCAATAATGTTGGTACAAGTTGAATATATTCTTTTTAATGAGATATGATATAGTCATTGATAAAAAATTGGATATTAATTTTCAGTGCTCTTGCCATTTCCTTTCTCCTTTCAACTTTATTATGTAATCGTCTTGAGATTTTGCCGCTGAATTTTTCTTTAGTAAATTGCCACTTTGCTATTTATGAAAATGGCCTGTCTTCCCAGGGCTAATTTGTTTTGCATTATTGGAGTGTTTTCTTCTACAACATTATAGCAAGTTAATAAAAATGAAATGAAATGAAAAAATATATCTAATTTCCTGCCATCCCAACTGATTTGCTTTTGAGCATGTACAGTTCCCTTCCTTCCCCTTGGATGTGTAATCTGTACTTTTTCAATAGATAGAATTCTGGACTTGCTAGTTTGATATCCTCATTTCTTATCTGGACCATATGTGTACCTTCTCAAGAGGACTTTCTGCTTTGGTGCTTCTGATCTCAGAGTAAAAGTCAAAGTTCTTTCGGTGGCCTGTGAGCCCTCTCGTCCCCTCCATCATAACTTTTTTCCAGGTATCCACATGGTTAGTTTCTCGCCTCCTTCAGAGCTTTATTCTAACACTCAAGTTTGAGGCCTTCAGATTCTTGTCTGTGAGGCTTTCTTTGACCACCCTGTGTGAAATAGCATCCACGTCCTAAGCTCTTTCTTCCTCTTCCCTTCCTCTGTTTTTCTCTGTAGCACTTAGCACAATCTATGTTGCAATATGTTTCAATTATTTCTTTCATTTGTTGTCTCTCTCTCTATTCTTCCTCTCAGAGAATAAAGCTCCATGCAGGCAGGGATTTTTGTCTCTTGTTCATTGTTCTATTTTCAGCACTTAAAATAGTGACTGGCCGGGCGGCCCTGTGACCGAGTAGTTAAGTTCACCTGCCTTGCTTCGGCGGGCCAGGGTTTGGGTGCAAACCTAGCACTGCTTGTCAAGCCATGCTGAAGCGGCATCCCACATCCCACAACTGGAGGGATCCACAACTAAATCATACAACTATGTACTGGTGGGCTTTGGGGAGAAGAAGAAAAATTTTAAAAAAAAAATTTTAAAAAAGTGGCTGGCACTTAGTAGGGAATTAATGTTGGTTGAATAATGAGTGAACTCCAACTCTTATAATCCATATTTCATACTGCTGCCAGGATGATCCTTCAAAAACTCCCCTGGAAAAGCTAACTGTATGGTAGTGCCTATCCCTCTGTCATCTGGCCTCTGTCTTCAGTTGTGTGTGCTTTTGTTTTTCTTCTGGGATATACATGGGTGTTATGTTTTAGTCTGGAAGATATTCCTTTCTAATTCTTTGTCTCCCTAACTCTTACCTTCTCTCTCTTCCTTAGGCTTCTCACATGTGCTCTGCCAACTCAGATTTTCCTCCTTTGGGTCCCTGGGTACCGTGTCATAGGAATTAGACTTCACTGCAAAGTCCTGTTTCCTTGCTTCCGTTTCTCCTTCCAGACTTAGGTTTTGATAATCTCTGTGTCTACAGTGCCTAGATCTAGGTGCTTAATGATAGTTGAATGAATTAATGACTTACAGCTTTTTGTGTTAGTTGGATTATTAATTTTAATAGAGTCATTCTTGTATTGTTTTGATTTTTATTTTGCATGTGCCTAAAATCTATTACTGTATTTTAAGGTATTTTCTGTCATGTGCCCTGCATTGTTTTCCGTGATATTTTAGATTTGAAAAAGTTATTATTTTAATTTGCAAACCTCGTGATAATGTTACTGTCTTTTGTAGATCCCATGAATTATGAATTTATAGGTTTAATGGGCAGAAGTAAGGAAATCATTCCCTCAAAATAATACTGCTCCGAAGAGTTGTGTACACCTGTTAAAATGAAAGGTGGGATTAATGTTATTTTAATGGATAATCTTCACACAGCATGAATAAAACTTTTTTTTTTTTTTTTTTTTACTTTACAGGGAAGTCTTAAGAGGAGTCGGCAGATCTCATCTCAGGAATTCATCTACGAATTGAAAATGGGGTGTGCCGATGAGAGACTTGTCACGTGCCTGGAGTCCCTCCGTGTATCTTTGACTAGTAATCCTGTGAGGTAATTCATCTGCCTGGACGTCATCAGGGCATGTTACTAAATTAGACAGATGTCATTACTCTTTCATTTTTATTTAATACTTGTTTCATGTCACCTGTAAATAAATGGCTGATATACCTCAACAACTTTTCCAGGTAAAAACTGAATACATAATATTTATATGCATGAAGAAATATAGTCTCAATAGTACTTTTGAATTTGTTACTGAGTGATAAATAGCCTATGGTCTTTAAAAAACTCATTGTTTTTTTTCTTAGAATTTTTAAAAACTTAGAGTGTTTTTAAAGAGAACGATCCTGATCAGAAGCTATCAATGTGCCTGAGTTTCACTCTGAATTTTGGGATTGTATATATACTGGCTGATTCCTGTTTGACATAGCAAAAAATACCTTTTTTTTTTTCTTTATCGGAAATGGTATCTTTCTAGGATCCCATAGGTCAGTGTTGTCAGATTTAGCAAATAAAAACACAGGATGCCCAGTAAAATCTGAATTTTAGACATGCTTACACTAAAAAATTATTTGTTGTTTTTCTGAAATCGACATTTAACTGAGTGTCCTCTGTTTGGCAACATTACCATAGTGTGTCTCTGTTTGTTTTTAGCCTTTTTTAGCCCAGCATATTTTCAAAAAATTTTAGCAGAAGTTGTTATAAAATATCTGAGCAGTCATAGAATCAGAATTTCAGGGCTGCAAGGGTCAAAGATAGATCAGTTTTGACTTGTTAATTGTGTAATAAATGAATGCTTATTTCTTCATAAGAATATATCTGTATGTGTGTATATATATGGATGTATGTGTGTGTGTATATTCTGAGGGCTAGCATGCAAACTATCATTGTATGTTAATGGTTTGTAAAAGAATCTATTCCCTCTGATTAGCTCTTTTTTTGATGTTTCTGTAGTTAGGCTATAGTATGAAAAAATCTCTGACAGCACAAGTATTAAAACAAAAAGATCCCAACTTGTGAGACATGAAAAGTGAGTGAGGTTTAACTAGAGTATGAAGAGTGAACAAAGAACCTTTAGTATATTTCTATTTTATCTTATTTTTCTATATTTTGCCATTGCCAACCTGTTCTCTACATTGTAAACCAACGGTGGGCCTGAGCCTGGGGACTTCCTATGTCTTATTTACCTCTCTTTACCAGGCACAGTGCTTAGCATATAGAAGGTGCTTGGTAAAGATTTGTTGATTGAAAAGAGAGGTTTGATGTTAGCCTTCCTCATGAGGTTTTACCTTGGTGATTTTTAGAAATTAACGTGAATTAGTAATTTATTGGACAGGTATAGTCATACATGAAGAGCTCTGGTTTCCAGCTTAATCTGTACTTGTTCAATGTATTCATTTAAAAAAATAATTATTGAGCACCTGCTATTTTCCAATTACTTAGATGTGGGGCTTGAGTGAATGACAAAGCAGATCCAGGCCCTGTTCTTATGGAGTTTAAATGTAGGAAGAGGGTATTTTGGGGTTGATTGGGGAATACACTCATTTCTCCATTTATCTGGCAGCCACTGGGGACTGGAGATAGTCATGACTTTCCAATATAATTAAAAGTAGACTTTTCCTTTACCTTTTCTTGTCTTCATATTTTGAGTAGATGAATATGATAACAAAAGATAAACTGAAAGGGTTTTATGTATGAATTCAAGCATGTTACAATGGATACAATTATTTATTATGATTTCACCTAAAAATTGTGGGGAATAATGCTATGTCTCTTTCATTTGAAACTTATTTAAAAAACCTAAAAACTTATGGAATTATTTCCCCAAGAGTGGCCAGTTCTAAAATACATTAGAGGAATTCACAAGTGCTGTGGCTGTTTCCTACACAATAGTCTTTTTAATTGAAAAGAATAGAAAAATTTTATTTTTGGAGAAATTTTTCTGAAATCAGAGCACTTTATGTAGACAGAAGATCGAGAATATACTTGATTCTTTCTGTGTCCATTGCTCCAATTAGAGGAATGACTTAGCTGGAGATGTAAAACTTGAAGATATGTCTGTGATCAAATCTTTGGACTTGGCTGTTAGTTATGATGTGTCTGCTGAGAAAGTCAGTTTTTCATATTTTCTTTTTCTTATCTTTCTTTATGTACAGTATGTGACTATAGTAGGAGAAGGAATTCTAATTTTTGTAAGCTTTTGAGATCATTGTTAGACCTGTGGTGATATTGGGGAAATTAGAGTTAAAAGTCTTCAATGTCTGTGAATAGAGTTGAAAAAGAAACAAGTGAACTGATTAATGATGATTCTCCAATGCTGCTTTGGGATCAGGATTTATTTAAATCAAAAGTCAAGGAAAAGTAGGAGTCCCCCCCCATTAGTTCCCCTTCCCCTGCAGATATGCAATATTTTTAGAGCCATTCATCAACTTCTGAAACCCTGCCTAGCAATTATGAGCCATGTCAACCTTTTACTATTTGGACAGTGAATTATGTGAAAACTAGTGTATTAAATTCAAGATTATTGGCTTTGCTTTATGAAGAGTTGATCTGAAGTTCACATAGTTCTTCTGTTTAAAATTTTATTAATTATTCAATATTCTTGGCGACAGTTTTGAACTAAAAGCACAGTTGCTTTGTTTTTGGAACACTAGCGAAATGAGCAACTGCTTCAAATTTTCAAGTACAAACTTTTAGTGAATCTTGACATAGTCAACAGTTACATCTGAGCTATTGAATACATGGAGGTGGAAACGTGAAAAGGTAGACGCTAACATCATTGTGATTGATATCAAACATTTTAGTCCATACCCATCTATACATGTAGCAAATTAGTTATAGAATGCATCTTCATTTTCTCAATTTGATGCAGCTGTTAAGGACAAGATTTCTGTCTCAGAAAATCTAGTCTTATCAGGTCTTTGTATTTTGTGATTTTAGGCTTTATTTTTCCTTTACTCACAGTTAATATGCATTTCGAACTTTATAAGAAGTATTTTCTCACTAAAGTTAGCTTTTTGTTAGATTTCTAAGGAGGTTTTGGAACTAGGTTTGATTATATAATTATAACTTTGGAAAATTTTGCAGTAATATATATGTTTACTGCAAAGCAAATGAGCAGCATTTGTGAGTCATTATTCCATTTATTCAGGATCATGTTTGGAATCTAGTTTTTCTGCATTTCTGGGCTTGAAAACACAAAGCTGGTGGAAGAGTTTAACTTTGGAGTTGATGAACTTTTTGTGCCATGTACCGCACGTGTGAAGAGAGAAATAGAAAAGCTGGTGGCAAGCATGAGATCAGCGTACTCAGTATCAAGAGGACCTGAAGAAGAAAAGTCAAGATAAAAAATTTTGAGGATACTAATACTTTGACTTATTTTAAAAATTACTTATATAAAATATTAAATATATAAAAAAGACTATCATAACAGTAAAACAAGTACCCACCTGCCTATTAACGAGGCTAAGGTATAGAACATTGCCTACAAGGTGGAAGCTTCCGTGCATCCCTCTTTGATTCTACCTCCCCTTGTCCCACTAGCCTGTGGTAATCACTTTCCTGAATTTTGGGTTTATCATTTCTTTCTCTTTATTATAGTTTTACTGTGTTTATATTCCTAATTAATATATTGGTTGGTTTTATATATTTTTGAGCTTTATGTAAATAGCATCATCTTCCATATGTTCTTCTGAGACTTGTGTTTTCCTCTCAGTATTACGTTTCATAGATTTATTATGTTGATGTGTGCAGCTACTTACATTTCATCACAATCATTTTTCATACCTTTGTTTTCTATATTTTAGGAGTATCTATTGTAAATAGCGTACGAATGCTTTTTAAAAAAGAATCCTATCTGATACTCTGTCTTTACCTGGTAGTCTTATCTTTTCATATCGATTGTGAAAATATACTGGAATTTATATCTGATATTTCATTTTGAATTTTTAGTTGATGCTACTTTTTCCATGTTCCTTTCCCCCCTCCTTCTGTTCTTTCTTCCTTTTCTGTGATCTCCTCCTGCCTCTTCCTCATCCTTAAATTCTTTTGGCTAGATTTTTAGTTTCTTATTTCGTTTTTCCTTATTTACTAATTTGAAAGACATATTCTCTTTTGCTGATCATATAACAAAAAAAATTTAACATACACACACTTAAAAAGGGAATTTAAAATGCATGTACTTAAAGAGGATAAAAATAAGCAATATCTCTTTTAATTTGAACCTAGGACTACTTTAACACCAATCATCCCCTCTTGATTTGTGTGCTAGTTTTGTGTGATGTTTTGTTTTTTTCATTTTAATATTATGAATTAGCTGTTATTACTACTGAGTTATACTACAAATATGTGTATATGTATTTATTTACATACATTTATATACTCATCATTCTTTTTTTTGTTTCATGATTTTTTTCCTCTGATTATTTTACTTTTGCTTCAGGTGTATCATTAAATTCCCTTGGTGAGAGTCTGTTGATGGTAAACCTCTTAATTGTCTCACAGTGACTTAATTTGCCTTTACATTTGAAGGATAGTTTTCTTAGGTCATGGAATTGAGGGTTTTTAGATTTCATTTCTTAGTACATTGAGGATATTATTTTCTCTTCCTTTAATTTCTGTTTTTGAGAGTTTGGCTCTTTATCTAAAACTCATTCTTTTCCAGGTAATCTGCCTTTTCTCTCTGTCTGGTTTTATGATGTTTTGTCTTTTTGGTGTTCTATAGTTTTATGTGTCTAGGTGGAATTTCTTTCTTATTTATCTTATTAAATTTTTTTGGACTTCCTGAATATGATTGATGTCTTTCATAAATTTTCTGGATGTCAGCCATTATCTCTTTGAATATTGGCTTTTTCTCTATAATTTTGTACATATTAGACCTTCCTACTCTGTATACCATTATTTCTTAACCTCTTTATAGTTTCCATCTATTTGTCTCTCTCTACTATAGTCTGGATATATTTTGTTTAGATCTTCTAGTTTCCTAATTGTTTGTTCACAGATGTCTGTTTAACTTATAAAAATTTCCAGTATTATAATTTCATCCCTATAATTTCTTCTTGGCTCTTTAAAACTCTGTCATTTTTCATAATTCTATGCTCCTCACTTTTTTAATCCTTGTGTTATTTCTTTAAATGTATTACATTTCTCAGAAGGCTACAAACAAACTTTTGTCATTTGGTCATCAGATCTGCTGCTCAGTAGTGAACTCCTCTTGATAGTTTGTTGTGTGTCTTTGCCCTAAAGTTTTAATGCATATGTTAGTATGTTCATATTTATTTAAAATTTTTTTTTACCTTACTCTTGATTTTTCTTTTTTTGAAGATGAACCTCAGAAGTTGCAGTTTTATTGCCCTACAGAATATTAACTAGTTTTGTCATTTAATTAGCATTCTTCTTCTTTCCTTTCTTTAAGCCTCTAAAAATACTTTGATTTTTCTAATTCTTTTTCAATGAGACTCACCATTTTGCTGGTCTCCTCATTAATGAGGTAAATAAATACTTGACACTGCTGGCTTTATTTGGGCAAGCGATGTTTTTATCTCTTTTGAAAAATCATGCCTTGATAGTACAGATTTGTGGAATGTGTTAATATTCCTTGGAAACGTCCTAGAAATTCACGGAGGGAGTGAACCTGGTAAAAGACTGTGATTCCTACATCTTCTCCCCCTCCCAGGGTTTGGGGAAGGGACAATGAATTTGATGAAGAGAATGGGTGTTCCTTGCGCGGGGAAGTCTTTCTGCCCTTCCTCCATCTGGACGGCCTGTCCCCCAGGACTTCATCCTTCCACCTTGCCTGAAGTCCTTCCTCGTAGGCAATGGATTCTATCAAGGACGTTGTGGTGAGGTGAGGGGTGTGGTGCAGGTAATTCAGAGCACGTAAACTGAAGCATCTACAAGTCAAAGCTTTCTCCTACCAAGGTGGACCTCTTCTTAAAGCTTACTAATGCTGCATTATACCTAAATAATACCTAAGAGTCTCTAGTGCTTTCCTCAGTCTTAACAAAGATACTTTTCTAGGAAGTAACTGAAGATGCAATCAGAATCAAACTATACATACGCATATGTGTATATTGTATATATTGTCAAGGTCCTTCAGGAAGGCAGAAACAGGGAGCAGTCTACATTTAAAAAAAAAATTCGTTATCATGGAATTGGTTAAATAGGGGATAGACTGAGAAATGAAAGGGGCATTGAGGCACTCCAAACATTAGCAACAGCAGGAAGCTGCTCCACTCCTATGCTAGAGAAAGAGGAGAAGGCAGTGTTCTGGAAGCTCATGGGCTGGTGTTGAATGGCAGAAACTGTATCCATGGGGAAGATGCAGCTGTTGCCAGAGAAGCTGCCAAGGCAGAGAGAGAGGGAGAGAAATACCCTGGTTTATTCTTTCTTCCCACCTTCCCACGGGCCAAACCTGGCAAGGAGCAGTTGATGACAAAGCCTGGAAACTGCAGCCTGCAGGGTGAGCCCCTTTGAGAGCAACAGAATTGTACAACAGTGAAGGAGGGAAGTGAGAGGAAATGGGCTAAGCTCTGAAGCATTATTCTGTGGGACTCAGAATAGGTCAATGAATATTAAATTCCCATTTCTTCCAGTTTTTAGTTTCATTGGCCATTTAGGTTCTTTATCTTATTATTAGGAGATGTAAAGAAAAGTGCTTTTATAATATGCTCTGGGGCCTTGAATCAGGTCAAAAACTTCCTAAGAACACAAAGGGCCATCCTGCTCTTAATTTCTTGAAACTACCTCTATTTGAAGATAATCCGCTTGGTCTAACTAAATAAATGGTCACTCTCAGCTTTTGAGACCTTTTACCGTTTATTCCGTTTCCTCTAATACAATTGCTGTCTTGTTTCACACATGCAGAATACTGGGTTTGGTGGTGGTACTAATTACACCCCCTTTTTGCCTTTGAGTTCTGAATACATTAAAAGTAGATACAGAAGTGAGAGAAGGAACAAAAGATCAGCTTTACTGCTGGAAAAACTGAATCGCGGTGCACAGTTGGGACTTGACGGTGAAATATACTTCTTACTTCTGCCCACTGAATCGCATTTGCCGTGTTGCCATAGGAAGAGAGAACAGATAACTGCAGGCCTGGGTCCTGCACGCTCAGTGTCTTTTCTGCACTTTCACCAGTTTGATAAATCAGTCCTCGTCATTGGGGGATATTCAAATAATAAGGGGGAAGAAGTGACCGGAAGTAATCCCCAGTGTTCCTTTCTGGGGAATATAGAAGGCCTCTCCCTTTGTAGAAATGAGAGGAGGGTAAAAGGTATTCTTATTAATAATATGCTCCAGTTTATTTTTATGCCCATGACATGTTTTGGAATTTTAGATTAAGGCGTGAGATACAAATTTTTTTTTTTGAATTAGCATTAGAAATTAACAGTATGTACAGATTTATGGTGATAGTAATAGTGATAATTCCTGAGAGGGGCAAGAGTGAGTAAAGGTTCTCCTAGATGATTTACGTGCTGGTATTTCTTTTGTCTTTCCTTTCTCTCTCTTTAATGATGATGCCAGGGAGGCAGATAATGCAAGTGGCTCCACATTTTCTTTCCTGTGCTGTTCAATATGGTAGCCACTAGGCACTTGTGTTATTTAAATTTAATTAAAATGAAATGAAAAAAAAATCACTTCAGGTGCTCAAGTGGCACATATGGCTAGTGGCTACCATATTGGACAGCACATTTAGACTATTTTTGTCATCATAAAAAATTCTGTTAGTGCTACTTAAACACCTTAAGGTATTTTGTGTAGCCTCTTTGACATAACTACTGTATGATTACTGTGTTCTCATAGTCCTATATGAAAGGACTATGAGAATATATAAAGGAATTAAAGTATGGAAGATTAAAGATTATTTTTTGAAACCTCCAAGGAGGTTTTAAATGGACATTCACATCAAGAGAGACTTGAGAGAAGATGAGTGATCTAAGGACAGCTGCCTTCAACAGAGACTGCTGTCGTGGCAGGATAAGGCTAAGGGAGTGGGCTTCATACTAGCGATTAAGGAATAGAAAGGGAGAGGAGAGGATGTCTGACAGGCCGTGCTGTAGCTGTGGTCCCTGGTGGCCTTCACTGTGGCTGCCTATAGCCAGGGATGAGGGAATCAGCAATACGGCGTGTCATAGAAGTCACAGAAACATCCCCTTTGGTAGGTTAAAAATATTAGTGGAGTGCGTTTTTTTAACAGAATTTTTCTCAGAGAAATGTGCTTGCCTTTTCCTCTTAAAAGCATTTTTTGCTGTTTGTTTATGAGCAAGTTAAAGTATAAGGTAGGATGTTAATGTTGTTCTTTTTATTTAGACACTGCCATATATCTTAGGATATGCCTTGTATTATTTATTTCTAAATTATCATTCAGGATCCATAATTTTTATGACAGTATTGCTTATTAAAGAAATATTTTTTGAAAATGCCCTCTAATTTTAGGCCATTTTGCTGTCCTTTCCAAAGTACTTTATATGAATGAAATATTAATGAAAAATGCCCTGGAAGAAAATAACTATTAATGTTTTAAAATGAGTACTAACTTGATATATTTAAAGGGCAAGCCATTACTTTTGAATGCTTTGAGTCCTTCCACAGCAGTGTCATTTTTCTGAGAGACTCTCCAGAAGATCCAGTGCTCCCCACTCATAGGAGGCTTTTTCTTTTGTGTACTGTTATTCAGATGATAACTTGGTTTTGGCTTATGGATGTATTAAAATGTTATAATTATTTGGTTTCAAAGTTAACTTTACCTGTATCTTAAAAGCTTTGACTTTGAATGCAAGGTTAAGAATAAAAGTAGAGTACATTGGAAATAGAGTAATTGCTTCTAACAGAGAAATACATATTTTCTGTACATGGTGAATAAGAGCTGTGTAGCTCAATTTGTACTTGATCTGAAAGGTCCTAGAATTGTAAAGTGCTCCTAGTGTATTTTAAAATACATATTTCCCAGTCTATTTAAAATAAAATATAAATTGCTGTTTGAATAGCCAAGATTAATTTTAAAAAAATCTCAAATGTAAAGTCAGTCACAAGTCATAGGGTCTCAAATCTTCATTTTAAAAATAGAGCAGTTTGGGGCCGGCCCGGTGGCGCAGCGGTTAAGTTCGCATGTTCCGCTTCTCGGCGGCCCGGGGTTCGCTGGTTCGGATCCGGGGTGCGGACATGGCACTGCTTGGCAGCCATGCTGTGGTAGGCGTCCCACGTATAAACTAGAGGAAGATGGGCACGGATGTTAGCTCAGAGCCAGGCTTCCTCAGCAAAAAGAGGAGGACTGGCAGTAGTTAGCTGAGGGCTAATCTTCCTCCAAAAAAAAAAAAAAACAAAAAAAAACAAAAACAAAAATAAACATAGAGCAGTTTGATAATCAGGCTTAAAAGGAAGAATATGTGACTGAAAACTAATTATTTGAAACGATTAGATTGCTGTTGAAAAGACAACGAAAGATAGTGTTACGCCATAACAATTTGGGGGAAATACTGCAATTAAATTTTCTCATGGATATAGGTGAGATGTAAGAAACTTCCCTTCTTTTCAATGAAATTGTGTGTGTTTTTAGAGAATGTAAACCTTATGTTTCAAACCTATAACAGCTATCAGCATAATGTTATTTACTGAATGCTTTGATTTCTTTTGCAAAGAGAAATATTTTCAGCTGAAAAAATTTTGAACTACAGGCACTAAAGGTCCTAGTCAGAATCATATAGTTTAGTCCTTAGATGTTTTTTTTCTGGCCTTGTTACTATGTGTTAGAGTATCGCTCGGTGAGTTAAGTAAAGAATTTAAAATATCATGATCTTGGTCTTGGTATTCCCTAACATATCTATACATAAAGGAATATTTAACTATACATACATAAAGAAATACATAACTATACACAGAGAAATACATAACTATACACAGAGAAATATGTAACTATACATAAAGAAAGGCCTTAACACAAAGGGAGGCATAACATAAAGGCAGTAGAAGAAAGTTTTAATGTTTATGATTCAAAAAACCTTGTAGAGTAAAACTCAGTCTTATCATCCATATTTCCCATGGATTTCTAGTCCTTTCTTATGGGACAATATACATCAGAAAGAAATAGGTATAGTTTTCATGTGTTAAATCTTTCTTATGTTAAAATTCATAAAAGATGAGAGAAGAAATGCCCACCTTGGGGTGGAACCACTAAAGTCACCTGGCCAAAGAGAAGGTAGGCTCCTTGGAATAGATGTCCAATAGCTGCACAGTGATGGAAATGTTCCACGTCTGCACCACTGTTGAGTACTTACCACATGTGGCTGTTGAGTACTTGAAATGTGCCAGTGTGACTGAGGAAACAAATTTTAATTAATTTAAATATTTACATGTAGGTAGTGGCCACCCTATTGGGCAACACTGTTTTAGAGATTAGAAATTCATGTAATTTTCCTTGTGCGCTTGTTTGGAGCCTTTCACACTTGAATCTCTCTAGGTTTGGCTGCTCTCTCTATCCTGCTATGAATTTCTGAAGAGGGGACAAAATAGTGCTGTAGAACCTTAAAATGGGACTCAGAAGAGAAGGTCAGAGTGCATGGTAAACGAATGCAAATAGTCGTGAGAGAAGAGGGAAACTGAAACTTGAAATAAGGTGAAATGCATGAACCTGTGCTGCTCATTTTTCAGGATAGGAGATCAGGTGTTTTGAGCATCTTTATACACCTCCGTGTTGAAAAACGAGAAGACATCCAAGGGCTTCTCCCTGTCCTCAGATTGCTGAGATTCCATTTGGAGAGAAATGTCTCATGCACATTAAAGAATAAATGACACCACCAGCTCTTATCTAATTAAGTCCTTAAGTGTGTGGTATGGATAACAGGCCACTGGGATACAGCAGAGGAGGTCCTTGTTAATCGCCCCATGCAACAAGCATTCCCAGGGGCTGTGCCAGGGACCACAGTAACAAGAGGCATATGGGTGAGAGACCTAGAAAACAAGTAAATAAAATAAAACAAAAGATATCATTAGTTCAGTTAAGAAAAAATAAGGGACTAATAGTACTGGATAGAGAGCTTTTAGATGTGAGCTGGTTAGAGAAATGATTTCTGAGGTGGTGAAGTTTAAGCGACCAAAAGGACAAGGAACTAGTTAAGGGGAACTTAGGCAGTGGTACTGGGCCTGGCTCACTTCTTGGGTAGCAGAGACCCTGAGGTAGGGACACAGTGTGGCAGGAGGGTGGAGCCATCACAGGGGTGGGCAGTGGCCAGCTCATGAGGGTCTTAAAGGTCCTGGTTGGGAAATCGGATTGTTATTCTAAATTAGTGGGAGACTATTAAAGAGTTTTAAGGAGGAAATGACATAGGCTAGCTTACTGTTTAAAAGGATCACTCCTGCTGCTGTGGGGAGAAGAGATTGAAGATAGGAAGATGGATAAAGAGATCAGTGGCTGTGGCAATACTTAGAGGGATGATGGGGGGTGGTGTGGATAAGGGTTGTAGTTGTGGTGGGTGGGAAATGGGGTGGATTTTGTAGAAAAAGTGGAGGTAGAAACTGTAGGACATGTTGATGGATTGGATGTGGGGTGTGAATGAAAAGGAGGACTAGATTTTTGACTTGAGCAAATGGGTCCATAAGTAGGGCTGTTAACTGAGATGGAGGAAGATGGTTGTTATTACTGGTTCCATGCATTTTGGAGAAAAAAAATTAAAATATATCTTTTAAACGTGTCAAGTTTGATATATCTAAGAGTTGCACAGTTTGAGACATCAAGCGAACAGCTGAATATGTAAGTCTAGACTTCAGTGGAGAAATGTGGAGTGGAGATATTTGTCTGTTGTTTATATGTGGATTGTATGTAAAGCCCTGAGAATGGCTGAAATCCAGGGTTGGGATGTGCGTGTTTGTGTGCACGTGTGCAGAGATACAGATGGGTTTCCAGAAAAAGCCCTGAGGAGCTCAGTGATTACTGTATACATGGTCCAGACAGGGCGGAGCAGCCAGGAAAACAGATTGAGCAGTGGCTAGTAGGGAGGAGGAGAACCCAGAAAGGCTGATTTCCTGAACCTGAGAGAACAAGAGTGTTGCAAATACAGGGTGGAAAACCACACAGAATGATACTGAGAGGTGAGGCAAGATAATGCTGTTCGAATTGGCAAGAGGAGGGTTGTTGGTGACTTCTGAGAAAAGCGATTTTGTGGAGTCTGGGTGACAGAAGCCTGACTGAAGTGAGATGGAATGAAGAGATGGTTAGGAAGTACTGACTATGCTTGTGATGAAATCATTTGAGACTTTCTGCTAAAAAAGAAAGGAGAGAAATGGGCAGTAACTGGAGGAATATCTGGGGTCACACAAGTGAAACCTAGTGAGCAAATGGAGAAACTTAAATTAGAGAGAGTTCAAAGAAGGAGGAAACTTGAATTGGCCCTTGAAAGATGAAATGGTTTCATTTGTTACAGAAGAGGCAATTGTTTGGAGGGGAGCATCATGAATGAAACTAGAAATGAACTTAATAGAATCAAGGGCAGATTATGGACTTAGTATAAGTTTATGGACCGATCTGGTCTGTTGGACTAGTATTGGGCACTAGTAGCAAATATTTAGGGTGGGAACAGATGATGGAAGGCCTGAAATGTGATGATAATTTCTCTTTCCCCATTTCTGGCTGTCAAATTAGTCTATATTTACAGTCATACGTTGCTTAACAATGGTGATACGTTCTGAGAAAAGTGTCGTTAGGCAATTCGGTTGTTGTGTGAACGTTGTAGAGTATACGTACACAAACCCAGATGGTATAGCCTACTACATACCTAGGCTATATGGTACTAACCTTACGGGACCACGTCGTATATAGGGTCTGTCATTGACCGAAATATTACGTGGCTCCTGCCTATAAAATGAACAATTCAGTTAATACTTTCCTGAAGTAATGATGTGTTTGATTTGATACTAAGAAACCTACTTATTAATATTTAGTATGTTTTAAACTGTTTCCTGGTCTACACTATATTTCTTTTAACAGTGGATGTAAGTTTTGATTAGAGCACATACTAGTATATGTTATTTTAAATCCATAGTTCTCTTACTGTCTTTTCATCTAAAGATCAAGAACTCATGTTTCTTATATAGGTACTTTCTTTTTCATCATTGTTGTTAGTCTGTTTTTTTCATTTTACCTGGAATACTTTTTCTAGACATTTTATGCCTTTGAATATGTTATAGCTAAAAAGTAACTAGGAGAATAGACTACTCAGTTTGTTGCTCCACTGTCTCATCTAATATTACAAGTGGGAATAAATGACTTGTTTCAGATGTATAACTTCTTTAAAAATCAATTCCTAGAAAATATACATATTAATGGTTGTATTTTGAAGTTTAATAGATTTTACAATCAGAACATTATTTAGTTCCTGCATTCCCTGTCTGGCTGTATAATTTAGCATAATTTTTGTGGCTGGACCATTGAATGCGATGTGGGTGTATGTTTATTTTGCCCTACAGGGCATGCTGATTGCATTGTACTCCTCCCCAGAACTGTTCAGTTTAAGTATTTAGTCACCTTGCTAAGAGCAGGTGAAAATGAAAGCTTAAAATAAACTATAATTATATTCAGCATTGGTGATATATTACTCTGACAGAGGAATGTAAATTGGATCTGGATATTATACAGTATTAAAGTTGACCTTCTAAATTTAAAGTATGAAATTTGTTACTTTGTCACATGTGACCAGTGATATATTTTTTTCCCCTTTCAAGAAGCTTCTTATATTGATTTTCAGCAAAATAACTTTGTGTTTCCCTAGGCATTTGTGTAAGATGATTATTTGGGTAATTAAAAAATAGATTTCTTATTACAAAAAAAATAAGTTCATTACAGAAAGATAAGATAACACCAAAACAAAATGAGGAAAAAATGTATAGTATCGCCTACTTGGAAAGACACTATAACTTCCTGGGTGGAAGTGTGTGTGTCTACGGAGCAAGTCCTCTGGTTTAATGCTATTGGTTAGTTGTTTGAAAAAGTTTGTTAAAGCAGGGAATCACAAAATAAGTGGTTCAGTTATACCATAAACTTTCTTTTTTTTGATTCAAAACATAAGTATCCATTTTTTTCTCTAGACATTTGATGTGGAGCCTAGACCTTTTCGGGGAGTAGGCACAGGCTGATTGCATAAACTGCACCCATGATGCACTGTTGTCTGCATATTGGTGTTTTAAAGTGGAACAGGAGTGTAGAGGCTCTTACACAGTAATCTGGGTATAGAGTATTTTCTCTTTTAAAAAAAGTCTTTTTGATGATATCTCTTAATAATTTACACTTGTGTCCACATCTCCTTCTATAGCACTTTTTAAAATGTCATCTTTTGAAAAATGTTTACAAAATATTATGGTTTTTGTAGAAACAGCAACTCTTTTCTCAATGATATGTTGCCTGTTTATGTAATTTACTTAAATTATATAATTGCAGTAATAAATAGAACTGGCAAAAATGGATTTGGAAATGAACCCAACTGGATCTTGGTGGGAGGAGAAGCATGTGAATGTAGGAGAGAGGAGGATATTAGCCTTGAATGTTCATTATGCCATGGGTGTTAATCAGTGTTTCACACATGGAATGGAAACCAGCAGGTATTTGAATGAGCTGATCAGGTAGAAAATGACTAAGAATGTGTTTGTACATGCACACATTTCCTGTATGTGAACAAAAACACATTTTTGAACAAAAATGGAGAATACCATATTAGAATTTCTGCTTTTTAAACTTAAGCTACGTTAGCATCTTTCCATTATCAAGATTGTAGGCATAGTTTTCTTTGATTCAGGATTTCTTCTAGCCCCTGGCTAGGTTAGTGGGTAGCTGCCTTACTAGCTCCTTTAGCATTTTTTTGTTTACCCTGTCATAGTGTTTATTACAAGCTATATTAATTGTTTTATTTACCTGTTCTTGCTCCTTTAGATTTCTCCCATCAACTGTTTATCACTTATTATCTTTATTCTAACCATTCCTTTTCTTTAATTCTTCTGCAATCAGAATTTCACTTCTACAGAGTTATTTATAAACTTCTCTTAAATTCGGTTTTTAATTTGACCTCACTTCAGCAGTTTACCCTTGACTCTTCTCTTTTTAAAACTTCCTCTTTCCTTAGGATTTGTTATCTCATCTTCACTTGGTTTTGTTCTTAGTATTGTCACTGCCTTTTCTTAGGTGCCTTGGTGGGAGCTTCTGCCTAGTCGCGCACTTTAACAGTGGAGATTTCAGACTTGATGTCTCTGTGAGGGTGGAGTAGATGTGCTTTTCCCTCTTCCTCCTCTAAGTCCAACTGAAAAATCTAACATTACATGTGAAACAAATACAAGACAATGGATAGACTAGGAACCAATGAATGACATGGTGGTGAGTTCTACAAGTTTCCTTTTTGCCTTTATCCCAGATTTGGAGATATGCTAAATCTGGAACCCAGAAATGCCAGTAGACATAGACGAAAGTTTCAATGGAAGGCTGCTCTCTTAAGCCAGAGGAGCAGCCACCTAGTCAGAAGACTTTAACCATAACTAGTCAATGCCTGCCAAATACCACAGAAGAAAACTGGTGGCTGGGTGGCTCCTTCCCACCCATACCATCAAAACAAAGTGGGGAGCCTGGATTAGACTCCAGACAGCAGTAATGAGGTACTCTTCCCTCTCCCCATTGAGGTGGTGTCAGACGAGACTTAGTAGGGAGTCAGAACTTTTACCGCAGTCCGTGGTAACCGTTCCCACTCGCACCTTGGTGCCACAAGGTTACATGCTGAGTATGATGAGACATTCCTACTTCTCCCTGCCAGGAAGGTACCATGGAGGCTCAGTAGGTAGCTCAGACTCCTACCCATGTGCAGCAGTAACAAGGAACCTCTCCCCTCAGGTGTCATTGGAGGCCAAGTGGGGACATTGGACTTCTGTTCCCACCTGGTGGTATCAACTTGGTACCTTTCCTTCCACCAGTAGAGCAGTGTTACAGGAAGCCAGTTAAAAACAGGATAAACCCAACGAAATTCACACTAAGACATATTGTAGTCAAACTCCTGAAAACTAAAGACAGAGCAAAATATCTTGAAAGGAACAAGAGATGGCACATTAGTTATAGGGAAAAAACAATTGAGGTGACTTTGGCATCCTCATCAGAAACTATGGAGGCCAAAATCTAACTGGTAAAACAGTTTTCAAAGGAAGAAAGCGAAGAACTCGGTCATCTCAGAATCTTATGCGCTATGCAACTATCCTTCAGGAAAGGAGGAGAAATCAAGGCATACCCAGATGAAGGAAAACCCAGAGAATTTGTGGCCAGCAAACTTAGCCTAAAAGAATGGCTAAGGGACGTTTTCTAAGCAGAAAGGAAATCGTTAAAGAAGGCACCTTGAAATGTTAGGAAGAAAGTCCAGTGTAAGTAAAAATATGGGTAAATAAATAGAATTTCCTCCTCTTGAATTTTCTAAATTATGTTTGATGGTAGAAGCAAAAATTATAACACTGTGGTTCTAAATGTATGTAGAGGAAATACTTAAAACAATTCTACTATAAATGGGGAAGGTAAAGGGACTTCAAGGGAGGTGTGTGTGTTTGCTGGGCTGCCTAACAAAATGCTACAGACAGTGTGGCTTAAACAGTAGAAATTTATTCTCTCACAATTCTGGAGGCTTGAAGTCTTAAGATTTTCGTCTGACGCCTCTTTCCTTTGCTTGTAGATGGTCCATGTCTTGCTGTGTCCTCTCAAGGTCTTTTCTCTGTGGGCATGTATCTCTGGTGTCTCTTCCTCCTCTTATAAGGACACCAGTCATACTGGATTAGAATTCTACCCTTATGACCTCATTTAACATTAATTACCTCTTTCAAGGCCTTATCTCCAAGTACAGTCACATTGTGGGTTTAGGTTTCAATTTTGAATTTTGAGGGATTCTGTTCAGTCCATAATATGAGGGAAGATTTTTGCAATTCACTCAAACTTGTAAAATGATGACACTGATAAACTTGTGATATATTATGATGTAATACCTAGAAGAACCATTAAAAAATTATACAAAGAGATATACATAAAAAACAATAAATCAAAATGGAATTCTAAAACATGTTCAAATAAACCACAGGAAGGCAGGGAAAAGAAGATAGACAAACGGAACAAACAAAAACCAAAAAATAAATAGTAGACTGAAGCCTTAACATATCAATAATTACGTTAAGTATAAATGGTTTAAATAAACAAATTAAAGGAGATTGGCAAAGTGGATTAAAAAAATCACCTAATTATATGCTTTCTATCAGAGATTCACTTCAAATATGTTGATATAGGCAGATTGAAAGTAAAAAGACAATAAAAGGTTTATCATGCAAACATTGATCAAAAGAAAGCAGTTGTGGCTATTTTAAGACCTCAGAGTAAAGAAAATCAAGTGATTTTTATATAATGATAGAAGGGTCAATCCACTAAAAGACCATTTCTAAGTGTGCATATGTCAAACTGCAGATGTGCAAAATATATGAAGCAATAAATAATAGAACTGAAAGGAGAAATAGATAAATCCACAATTAGATTTGGAGAATTTACAACTCTGTCAACAAATCACTAAAGATATAGAAGAACTCAACACCATCATCAAGCAAAAGGATATAATATATATAGAATACTGTATAACATATAGTGTTATTTTATTTGTGTTATATGTAGCACTTTATGACAATAACAGAATATATATTCTTATTCCCACAGAAAATATACTGGGATAGACAGTATCCTGGGCCATAACGCAAACCTTGTCAAATTAAAATTGAGATCATACTGAATGTGTTCTCTAACCACAATGGACTCAAACTAGAAATCAAGAACAGGAAGATCTCTAAGCATTTGGAAAGTAAACA